ATACCACAACATTCAGGGTGGGTCTCCCCGAGTTAATACGCTCTGGAAACACCCAGAAATGAGCTTCACCAAAGCCCCAGGCACCTCTTTTATTAATATCATTGACATTTAAGTTGTTTCTAGATAATTTTGCGTGCGTACACAACCTTTACCGACTCTCACTCCCCCACCAAAGACTTCGATGACTGTGGCCTTGGGTAAATCCTCCCTGTTCCCTGGCTGGTCACCGGGTCACATGCCAGGAAGGAGGCTAAGGAGCAGCCTGCATTCTTTGCAAACAGAATGATGTGTGCAAGGCCAAAAGAAGGTGGGTTAAAACGTGTGGAGGCTTTACCAGGCTGATAGCCTACTAAAGCAAAAATACCAACATGTTCTAAGATGTCAACAAGATTCAGGGCCTCATAATGTAATGTTCCTGTTGTTCAGGGTACACATCGTGTGCCCAGCATACAAAGTTGCGTGAAATGCTCATTTCTCCTTGGAAAAGACAATCAGTAGATGCTGTTGGTCAGATTCATAGATGCCAGAACTCTCAAGGCCTTTAAAGAACTTTAAAGTGATTGCATGAGCAAATACACATGCATGTATGTGTGTGAATATGTGTCTGTGTGTATGTGTATATGTCTGTGTGCGTATGTGTCTCTGTGTGTGTGTGTGTCTATATGAGCACATGTGTATGAATGTGTAGGGAGAGTATGTATCTGTGTGTGCATGTGTGTGTGTGAATGTATATGTATGTGTCTGTGTATATGTCTGTGTGTGCGTGTGTGTGTGCCAGCAGCTATTTAGGCAGTTTCCATACCTTTAATACACCAGGTAAGCCCACTGAAAAACCATCAATGCGTTCCCTTTCTTCCTTTGGTATTGTCAACACTTTGAGCTTTAAAATGTCAACTGAAAAATACTATGTTGGGGGTATACATGCGGTGCAGCGTGTATGTGGAGACCAAATCATGAGAGTCAGTTCTCTCTGTGCACCGTGTGGGCCCCAGATATGGACTTCATGTCATTGGGTTGGTTATAAGCAACCTTACTCCCTGAGCCATCTCACTGGCCTCCTTTCTGGGTTGTGACTGGAGCAAAAGAAAGGAGGCTGAATGTGTTGCGGGTGGAGTAGGGTATCCTTTGGAAGACTCTGTCACTCTGGGCATGTCCCTCATGCATAACATCAACCGTGTAAGTAGCCTGCCTTTCAGCATCCTATACCTGCTTGGAAGGACTTGATCATGTCTGTGGTGACATATTGTGTACCCTAATAAACTTACTGCAGTTTTCTAGTCCTTGAAAGTTATTACCAACTAATTAGGATCAGAGGACAGAGCCAGCCTCTAGATTAGACACAGAGCCAGGCAGTGGTGGCACACACCTTTAATCCCAGCACTTGAGATCTCATGCCTTTGCTTGGGAAACACACACACCTTTAATCCCAGGAAGTAATATGGCAGAGCAGAGAAAGTTATATAAGGTGTAAGGAAACAGGAACTCACTCTCTTTAGACTGAGGATTTCGTAGAGGTAAAAACTAGTGGCTGGCTCTGTCCTCTGATCCTCAGGAAAGTGTATTAGGATACACAATATATCACCACACATGTCCCTGTGTGTGTTTGACTTTGCTTGATGAAATTGCTTTTAAAGCTGATCTGTAACCTTAGTGGAAGGGATTCTGAGAACTTTTTCTTTGCTGACTAATCCATCATACAAATATTTGTTGAGTGCAGACACTATGGTAAGTGATGGAAATTAAATGAAACAGACAAAAATTCCTGCCTTTGTGGGACTGATGCCCTAGTAGACAAGATGAAACAAGCAATCGATTAATAGACAATGTAATTCTGAGAAGGAAGGAAGCAGAGAGTGTGGGAAGTCTTGTTTAGAGGATGATCAGCAGGTGAGGTAGGGCTGAAGGACCTGGAAGGTCCAGCCATGCTTTGGGGGGAAGATGAGCCAAAGATGAGCCCTGAGGAGGAGGCTAGAGTTTAATGAGGGGGGCAGGTAAGAGATGAGTGGAGTTGGAGGTGAGACTGCTGGGAGGGGGGCTCTGTCCAGGGGGATCAGGAAGTGATTGGGAATCTGGGGCAGATGCTGTAGCCCCGAGCAGAGGAAAGACACGGCAAATCTTTTTCACATTCAATAATAAAAATTCGCAGAACCTAGAGCCCAGGGGAAATTAGTGAGGCCACAGCTCTCTCTTTGCTTGGCTTCTGCTGTATTTACCTCCAGGATGAGCAATAATTTAAAGGTACCAGGAAAAAATATTGAATGTACCTAGAAATGAGGTTGAGAGATTAAGAGTCTTTCCTTTGGCACATACTACGTCTGGTCTTACCAGTTTGATGAGATTTAGAACCACCTAGAAGAGACAGCTCTGGGTATGTCTGTGAGGATGTTTTTAGAGATATTTAACTGAGGAGAGGAGATTTACCCTAACTGTGGGCGGTATCATCCTGCAGACCAGGCCCAAGAGAAGATTTACCCTAACTGGGGTGGCATCATCCTGCAGACCAGGCCCGAGAGAAGATTTACCCTAACTGTGGGCAGCATCATCCTGCAGACCAGGCCCCTGAACTGAATGGAAAGGGAAAGCCAGCTGCTTCCTGTCTGTAAATGCCATGGAACCAGCCACCTTCTGCTGCCACCCGCCATGGCTACTCCACCCAAGGGACTGGGTCCTTGAACTGGGAGAACAGCGGTCAACACACTGAGGCCTTCTGTGGTGCTCCACTCATGTGTTTGGCCTCTGTCTTGGAGTTCATAATCTCTGCCAGCTCTTTAGACCCTACTGATGCGTCTATAGAAACATGAGGGAAAATATCCTAAAATGCAACTAATTACTGTTCTGGGAAAGATTATTCCAGGCATTGACTTTGTTGATCTTATTGACACAGGGGCCACTTGTGAGTCCCTTACCAGGTCATAGTTCTGACAAACTCTGTATGTCCGCTGTCCTTTGAGATGACTGAATTTCCTACAGGGTCTTTATTAATGGATGAGTTAAATGGCATCACTGAAATGTTTTGGTCTTATATTTCTAGGAGTCTTGTGTGGCTTTATCTTTGAAAACTTAAGGCTCACATGCCTGGCGATTGAAAAGCCACTAATTCAGACCAGTTCTTCATTCACTTGGTACTGTTAGCTTCGCATTCAATTCTGAGTCCTTCATCCACCCTCACAACACACACATTTGCACAGAGGGTGTGATCTCATCTCACCCCACCCCATGCTTGGTGGTGTGCTAGAAACACAGACCTATGCATATTTTTTAATGAATTATGGTACGTTAGTTACCATTCCCCTCTCTGTGACCGAAGCAGCTTCAGGGAACAAAGATTTATTTTGGCTTGTGTTTAAAGGGATACAGTCTGTCATGGTGAGAAATGGATGGTGGTTGGGAGCATCAGGAAGGCAAGTTGGACACTGGTGCTCAGCTAGCTCTCTCCTTTTATTCAGTTTGGGATTCCATCCCATGGGATGGTGCTACCTGTGTTCAGGGTGGACCTTCCCTCTTCAGTTAATCTTCCCTGGAAATGACCTCACAGACATTCCCCAGAGGTGTGTCTCCTAGGTGATTCCAAATCCAATCAAGTTACCAATGAAGACAGACTATCACACATGGATACTATGAGGCAGTCTCAGAGAGCAAGTTGTTGGGACTAAATGAGGTGGGAACCCTAGGAGGTGACAGTGTCTTGGGTTATCTACTTGGGATCTTAATTTTACACTAAATTCCAACATGCTTGGGTTAAAGATTGCTCTGACCATGTTTCCCTGAGGTCACCAGAAGGACTTTCTAGCTGTCCTTTTCCTGCCACTGAAGAAACACTAGTATCCCAATGGGTGATGGTGGGCTGGGGTGGACCTGCTGAGACATGACAGAGATTGGACAATGTTGCTTTCAATGTCTGTCCCTTTGTGTGCCCTGTCCTGGAGGCCTCGGCCAGGAGGTCTGGGAAGCTGCACTGTGGGTGGCAGTTCCTAGATCATCTCTGGATGTCTCTGTGGACTAGATCCCTTCCCTGCTGCCCACGGAGAATGAACAGATTGGCTCCTGTTCTGGATGACAAGAGCCTCCCAGCATGCCCTCTGACTGACTGCACTGTGACAGGGCCGAGGGAAAACTGTCACTACTGTTATGTAACTGTTTCCTCTAGATAAAACATTCCACCCACAAGGGATCAGGGAGGCTCATGAAGCTCCCAAGAAACAAGACCCAAGAGGCCCCTCCCAAGGCTGTAAAAGCGGAGAACTGTTACTGGGAGAGAGATTCTTCCGTGGAGTTGCCTGAAGACCATGCAGGAAGCTCTAGGGATGTAGCTTTCACGAGTGTCCCTCCTCCCATGCTGGGGTGTACTTTTTGGTGACGCAGCTGCCTAACTCACCCATGATTCCATAAGTGACCCCGATAAACCCACCAAGCCAGGTGTGGATGGAGGCATTCCTTTGGTCTATTGGTGCCCAAGAATGGTCTGGGGCCAGCATCACCTGGGAGTCTGCTTGGGATTTGAGCCCTAATTTTTTGGGTCAGAACATGAGTTTACTATGATCTCCTGGTGATTCCTTAGACTCTATAGTTCGAGGGTTGCTGGGTAATGGGTCCTACTCACATAGGTGCATCAGCCTTCAAGTCTGGGACTTACCAACCAGGCACCAGGGTCAGCCACTTCACCTTTCAGGGCTCACTTCCTTGTCTGTAGAGGACAGGGTGTGGGGAGATCACTGACATGTGTAACTTATTAAAGTTTGAGAGAGCCCTAAAGAAATCTTGGGGTGGGAGAGCCTGGAAGAAGAGATCGGGTATTGGTGTAGCCAGGTCTAGGCCCTAGAGCTGAGCTCAAGGGCCCTCATACAAGTCACCTTACTATTCAGTGGGGAGGCCAGCTCCATGCCCTGCACTCATGTCCCAAGCTCTTTCTGGGACCGTTTATTGCAAGGATTCACCTATGGATACCATGTACCAATCTCCCCTCCTTGTCCATTCTGGAGATCCTCGCTGGACACAATGAATGAGGGGCAGAAGGAAATCTCTTTAATAGCATAGCAACATTAGGTCTGGGAGTCACTGTGGGAAAACATTGCCTTCCAACCGCCAGATGTACTGAGGTGTGAGGATGCACTGAACACTCTTAACCCACAGATTTCACACTGGGAACTTAATAAATAGATACTCAAAATGTCAGACAGCAGAGGCAAGGGGTTGTGTGCGTGATTCTTTTCTCGTTCGTTCCACCTCCTCCAAGCAGGGCTGAGAAGCTGGTCCACTAGGATGGGTATTCGTAGTCCTCGGCACTGCGCCGGCCAAAATCCATCCAGCCCGTGTAGTCCCGGTCACTTATCCTGTGGCTGGGGTCCAGGCTCTGCAGGCTCTTGAGAACGGACATGCGGCCGGAAGGAGCTGCAGGTAGAAGAGAGGAAGGAGACGAGGGCCGTAGATCTGAGAATATGACTAAAGCAGTGGAGAAAGCCAAGATTGTCTGTGTCTGTGTGTCTGTGTGTGTTCACGTGTGTTCAGTGTCCACACATGTATATACATGTGTCTGTATCTTCCTCATTCTCTTCTCCATCTCACTGAGACGGAGCCTCTTGCTGCACCTGGAGCTCACTGGCTCAGCTAGACTGGCTGGCCAGCAAGCCCCCGGGGTCCTCCTGTGTCTGCTCCCCAGTGCGAGGACTGTGGGCACACTCCACAACCAGCTCTTGGGGATTGGACTGAGCTGTGCTTCTGCGGTGTTTACTGACAATGCCCTCTCACCAGGCCTTCTGAAAGGCGCCAAGTAACGCTGCTGGGCCAGAAACAAACAGAAGAGGAGGAACTGTCTGTGGAAGTGTTTAGATGGTTCGCTTCTTCCTGCCTTGGTCAGCCTGGGAGCTGTCTAGGCTTTCCTACCCAAAACAGCATTTCATAGTGCACATAACCCTCATCAGGAGCCACACAGAGATCTTCCCAGGACTCACTACTTCTAAATGTCATGACTAACATCCCAGCATGCTTAGCTAATCAGGGAGCTTCCAGGGACTATGACACCATGATAGTGTCATGTATAAGATTGTCTAGTATAAGATTTTTAGAAATGGAATCAAGGAACCAGGGAGACTAAAATCGCTGGCTACATAAACCTGACAACCTAAGTGCAGATTCCTGGAAACCACGCTGGAGACACTGATGTATGTCCGAAGCTGAGGTAGGCAGAGACAGGGAAATCCCCCAGAAGTTCATGGGCCAGGCAGCCTGGAGCATGAAGTATAGCCACAAACAACAGAGGACCCTAAAACTAGGTAGAAGGTGAAGCCCTACCAACGCCTGAGGTTGCCCTGTGGCTTCCACACGTGTACTGTTACACACACACACACACACACACACACACACACACACACACACACGCACACACACGTAAGTAAATAAATACGTAGTTTCTTTTTAGAAGGAGGACCAATCAGGTAGCTCGGTGGGAAAAGATGCTAATTGCCAAGCTTGACAAGGTGAGTTTGAGCCCCCTGGACCCACACGGTGGAAGAAGAGAGCAGACTCCTGTGGGTTGTCCTCTGAACTCCACAGGACCACAGAGCATGCGCCCTCCTAAATAAATGTAAAAAATAATGAAATCAAGTTCTCTTTCTACATGAATATTGTTTACAAATTATTAATTTGAAAGCTACAGTCCTTTAAAAATAACCAGAAAAATACACCTTGTCAGGTTAAAATACTGGCATCTTGGTAACATTTAAAGAAACTGAATGAAAAGTCCCAAAAGATGGAACTTTAATCAGCCATTTTGATCAAAACACAATGATGTAACCTGCAATGGGATCCAGCCTGAGGCAACTGTGTGATCTGCAAGGAGAGGGTGTGGTGACATGATTCCTTCTTCTGCTGGCACATGACATGGTCCCAGCCCACAAATGGTTGACAATGGCCTCCTGGACTTGTAACCCGGGTAGAGCCTTCTGTGCTGACTAAGGGTAAAGAGAGGCCCCTGGGGGCCCCATGGAGAAGTGGCAAACCTCTCAATGACTCCCACTGAGCTGGGACCACAGTGGGAGTAGTTTGGGTAGTTTGCAGGTGGCTTCCCTGCCCCCAGGCTAGCAGAGCCAAGAAAGAAAGAATACTGGCACATGCTCGTAAGCAACCCTAATGAGACCCATTAGGTCACTGAAGTCACTGAAAAAAAAGCAGGGAAGGAGAAGAGGGGTTGGTTGGGAAGAGGACTTGGAGGAGGAGGGGAACAAGTCAGGGTGGTGGGTGGGTGTGATCTGAATGTGCTGTAGATGCATTAGACGTCACAATGAAACTCACCATTATAGCATAATTAATACACATTAATAAAACGTTTTTAAATGACACCACAGAGGCGGTCACCCTGACTTACTGCATAACGGACTTAACCAGCTAAACTCAAAACACGCTTCCTTCTCTGACCCCGTGTCTTCCCGGTTTGGGGACTGAGAGTCCATTTGCCGCGTTCTTTGGGCAGACAGCCCTAGCCTGTGCAGAACAAGCCCTGCTGCTTAACTGCTCAGTACCTCTCAGGTAAAAAAAATACATAGATAGTCAGAAATATATGCAGTCCAGTTCCCTGTACAATCACAGGAAGACACGGATTAGTGTCCACTGTGAGGGCTGGGCACAACCCATGCTTCTATCAGCCAGCTGTCTCGTCAGTGGCTGGGCAATCAGCCAGTCATGGGAGCTGCATGTGGAACATGCCTCGGTTCTCACATCCCACACAGATCTGTCTTCAGGCGTGGTGTTACCACTCTCCATCCACCGTCCCCAGCACTACACAGCAAAGAACTCTTATACCCAGAGCAGACAGGTGAGCTAGGAAGCCGAATGGCCTCCAGGCCTCAGGGGAAGTCAAGCCTGTATAGATTCACTCTGCTGCCTCCTAGATGTGCCAACATGTGCACAGATGTTACCTGCTTTCTTTAGCATGGACTTCCATAAATGAAAAACGAGTGAGATGTTTACTGTGCAGAACAGTTTTAAGGCCTGAGGGAGACGCACCGAGATAGCATCCAATGCCTGTGACGCTGATGCCTCCCCCACCTTCCATGGGAACACACTTCCTCCTGGACCACTGATGCCTCCCCCACCTCATGGGAACACACTTCCTCCTAGACCACTGATGCCTCCCCCACCTCATGGGAACACACTTCCTCCTGGACCACTGATGCCTCCTCCAGCTCATGGGGACACACTTCCTCCTGGACCACTGATGCCTCCCCCACCTTCCATGGGAACACACTTCCTCCTGGACCACTGATGCCTCCCCCACCTCATGGGAACACACTTCCTCCTGGACCACTGATGCCTCCCCCACCTCATGGGAACACACTTCCTCCCCTGGACCACTGATGCCTCCCACACCTTCCATGGGGTCACACTTCCTCCCAGACCACTGATGCCTCCCCCACTTCATGGGGTCACACTTCATTCTGGACCACTGACGCCTCCCCCACCTCCCACAGGAATACGCTTCCTCCCAGACCACGGAGGGCACTGCAGAGAAACCCTAAGGATTAACTTTGTTTTATTTTATATTTTAGTTTTTTAAAATACAAGATCTCACATAGCCCAGGCTGGCCTCAAACCTGCTGCACAGCAAAGGCTAGCCTTGAACTCCACCTTCACCTCCTGAGTGCTAGGATTACAGTTTCATGTGGTGCTAGAGTTGAACTGAGGATTTTGTACATTCTAGGCTACTCTACCAACTAAAACCAAGCCCCACTCACTCAGAAATTATCTTGTCTAGAATCTTTAAGAATGTTATGCAGTAGAGTCGAATACAAAATCATTTGTAAAATATTCAAAGAAATTGTAAAGTATTGACAATATTAATTCTGAGTTTATATTTGTCAAATAAATGAGCATCACTCTTCTATACTTAGCCCTGATCCTGGGTGTGGGCAAACAAACTTTCAAATGACTGCGGCTGCTCCTTTCTGGGCTTCGTGGGTCCAATAGGCTGAGGGGAGAGGGACTGAGAAGAGAGCTGGGGGGGCTTCCAGCTAAGACCTCTGCTGGGAAAACCACTGGCAGGGTTAGTTCTAGGCAGTAATTCAGCAACCAGGCTTTTGTTGCTAGAACTGCTTGGGACATTCTTAAACCTAGGCGAAAGGGTTCTGGAGTGACGCCTCAGTGAAGAGTCTAGAATACTTCAGAAGGGTCTGCTGGTGGTCCACGGCAGAGGGCAGATCAGACAATCAGAAGAACAGAGAGGAGGCATCCCATGTTCCCAGGTTTCCCATACCTGATATGAATCTCAGTCTCTCTCTCTCTCTCTCTCTCTCTCTCTCTCTCTCTCTCTCTCTCTCTCTCTCTCTCTCTCTCTCTCTTTCCCTCCCTCCCTCCCTCCCTCCCTCCCTCTCTCTCCCTCCCCCTTCCTCCCTCTGTGGAATTAGCAGGAAAACAAACTAGAAAGGAATGGCTGTGGGCTGAGTTCCCAAACAGGAAGAAAAGCAAGAAATCTCTGATTCCCCTGAAGTCCCCTGGTCTCATCTTCATGTGCAACTCTAGGAGACTCAACCAAGCGCCCCTGTTTCCCCTCACTACTCAAGCCTAATGCCATGGGCTGTTCAAATGCAGACTGCAGACGGGACAAGTTGGATAAGTGAGCTCCACAGAAAGGATGCCCACCTCCTGCATTTTAATCCAGCTCTACTGGTCTAGTTTAACACACCCCAGCCAGAGATCACCATCCACGTCCCTGCAGATAAAGTCAGAGATGAAAGCTGTCTTGGTGCCAGCCATGATTCTGAGCTGGAAGGGGATCTGGGTCGCTCTGCCCCCATCGCCTCTCTGAAGACGTGAGATTCAGGTACAGGAAAGGAACTCGCAACTGGCAAGCTGCTGAACCGCCCACGGGGTTCCTGGGGAAAGCCTTCCAACGCTAAGAAGCCCTGCGGTGGTCACCATCGAGGCCACCTTTCTGACAGCTACAGACTGGGCAGCCAAGGGACTCCGACTGCTCCTGGCTCTTTGACCCTTTCCTCCTGCTCGGTACCGGGGGAGAGGTACACAGTGCCAACTGCTTTTCTCAGATCTCAGGCTTTCTCAGCACCGACGCACTTTCTGCCAGAGGGGTTCCAAGGGTCAGTGTCTGGGTGGTCCCCAAACCTGTTCATACACAGCAGAGAGGGCGGATCTGGGGACTCTTCTGCCAGCACTCGATTTTTAAAAATGTTTTCCTAAAGCGGTGTTGGACTTCAGCCCTAACACCGTGCCAACATCAGTTCAGAGAAGGGTTAGCCTCCCCTTACCCACGAGGTAAGCCATCTCCCCTCTTGGGTGCTGCGAACATCACCTGCCAACGGCACAGTGCGGTGCAGCGTACCTCAGGGAAAGAAAGTGAAAATCTTGCTCCTTGTGTGTACCCTGCTTCCTTCTCCCTGCAGGTGCTCTGGGGATCAGGATTGGGACCCCGGAGCCGCAGCCGCAGCAGCAGCAGCAGCAGCAGCAGCAGCAGCAGCAGCAGCAGCAGCAGCAGCAGCAGCGTGAGAGAGAGCAGACATCCTTACCTTTGCGGGCCTGCTGGATGTATCGCGCTAGCAGTGCGCCCAGGCGCGCTCGGGGCTCGCCGTCGGTCCTGAGCACAGCCCTCAGCTGCCTTCGGGGCGCTTCCTCCGCCCGCTGCACCGCGGAGTCCGCGGCTTCTGCCGGGGCCACTGGCTGCGTCAGGGCGCCTGCGGCCAGGACTGCTATCAGCACGCACAGACACACGCCACTCTTCATGGCTGTGGACAGCGGAGGCGAGGAGCGTGAACCAAAGACTGACCTCGGCGGGCTCCAGCCGAAAGTCCCGCACACCCAAGTCCACCGAGGCCGAATGGGAGGGCTGCAGCCGCCTGGCTGGCTCGTGCCCTAGAGCTAGCCAAGCGCAGTCCTCAGCTGCGCCCTGGCCACCGCGCGCCTCGGGACACTTCTGCCTGGCTTTTGTGTTATCCACATCTAGGGCCCCGGGATCCCGCAGAGACAGGATTTTCTACTTCGATCAGAAGCAGTGCCTACTGCTTTCCTGAAGTTAAAGGACGCCTTTGTAGATCATCTCTCTTCTAACCAGAAAAGCACAGAGTGAATGTGTGTGTGTGTGTGTGTGTGTGTGTGTGTGTGTGTGTGTGTGTGTGAGAGAGAGAGAGAGAGAGAGAGAGAGAGAGAGAGAGAGAGAGAGAGAGAGAGAGAGAGAGAGAGATGGGAGAATACTCCTGGAGAGAAATGTGGGAGATTAAAAGCTGTCGCTACAGAAATGAATGGGACGACGACCATGGGAAGTACCGTTTAAACTATGAGCGCATAAATAGAAGCTGTGTTTATAGAGGTTCCTCGGTGTTTTTATGGGAACGAGCAAGAAGTCACTATACAAAGCAAAACCCAGAAATCTGCGCCCAGTCCTGAGTTGTGGCCAAAGCCCCGCCACATTTGAGAACTGGGCTGATAGGTCCTGCATCATAACGATGTATTTCTATCCCCAAAGCCTTATTTTTTTTTTCTGTAGCATTTAGAAAACGGGCATGTCTTAAAAACCTCTTAGTATTTTCATTTAAATAATTGCAAAGTGATCCGAACATTATGGGGACCCTGAAAAATGGCCATCCCAGCCTTGGCATGAAAAGAAAGCACACAGAGAAACAATCTCCACACAGCAGTACCCACCCAGACGCATTTTAAGATCCAGCGCCGTTATTTCTGACTTCAGGAAATCTTCCCAGCTGTCAAAGGAGGAAGAAGGCACAGAAAACAGAGAGACTATAGGACAAGGCTGCAAAGCTGCAGCCGGCCGATATTCTTCACTCTCAGGATTCTTGGATCGGCCAGGGGAGACACCGACTTACCTTTGATGAGGAATCAGCAGGCTTGGCGGTTTCCAGCAGAGCAGGCTGCAGTCCAGCCAAGTTCAGGGCAGGCGGGAGGGCGGCTGCCTCTTAAATAGCCCCGCCCGGCGCGCAACCAGTCATCTGTTTACCCAGTGCTGACGCAGTCCGTCCGGCAGGACACGTGCTCAGAAAGCGGCCACTGGAGCGACCACCGATTGAAGTGGCCCCAGAGAGAAGGAAAACAGCCCAGCCCAGTAAACGAGGATGACCCCTCCCAGGCGGGGTACCTAGTATGGGATCTCCTCTTTATCTAAAGAGCTTCCTTCTCACCTGTCCAGCGCCTCCCTAGTCTCTTCAGGCAGGATGTCCCCTCCTGGGTGGGAAACAGTTTATTGGAATGGGAAGGTGACCGTGTTCAGTGAGCTTTGGGGATGGGATGAAGTGGTCCTTCAAGGAAACTGGGGGACCTTCACAGGCTTGGGTGTCAGCAAGTGTAATTCTGGTGTATTTTCTGGGAACACCTTCGGACCTGAGTGGGCTCCCACGCGTGAGTGAGGGGAGTCGGGACTCTCAGTTTCTCAGAATCCAATCTCAATTGGCCTCCTGGGTCTGTTTTTACACAATTGTAAAATCTGGGTGTAGCTCCTGACTTAGTGCGTAAGAAACCACTGGGAAAAGGGCTGCGATTTCTTCCCAGAACTTTCCCACCTGCGCACACCTACAGCTACTCCTGGTCGCCAAGGGGCGCCAGAGAGTCTCAGGCGCCCCCAAGCTCTGGCTGGCTGAGCTATCCTGGCTTGGCTTGCACCTTTCCAGGGAGTTTGTGATCGCCCTTTCCAGGCCCGTCCCTCTAGATTCACCCGCGGCTCAGCTGGGTGGTGAGGATCTTGGCTGGGATAAGGACTCTCACCGACCGAGAAGGAAGAGAGGCACCCGCTGCTGCAGAGCGCACATCCCCTCGACCTCCCCACCCCCCGCAGCCTCCACAGAGCACAACGATCATCTACACCCGAGGTGCTAGAGTTTGCTGAGTCCCTCTACCCCATTTCACAGAACAGAACACAGACTGGGGACCTCGGAAGCCCCACACCAGCCCCTCTCTGCTAACCTGTAACCTGGGGTCACCAGCCAGCCATGCCCAACCCCGCCCCCAACCCCTCCCTTCTAGCATCAGTCTGAGGGAAAGGAGAAAGGCTTGGAAACACTTTCTGAATAGAAATTATACCCAGCCCTAGAGCCCTCCGGCTGAGGAGACCATGGAAACGCAGGCACAGGGGAGTTAGGTTCCTGGTGGTAGCTCTAGTGGTCTCTGCAACCCAGAAGAAACGTGTTTAAACAGCAACAGATGAACCGCCGTGGGGTGGTTCCCCACAAGGCAGCTCAGGTTGGAGAAATTAGCTTTGTCGGTGAAGGAACCAAGCACATCTAGAAACGTGGGTCTGACCTAAAGCAGCATTGGGAAGGGCTGCTTACTCCAGTCTGATTCTGCCCTCTCCTTGTCCCATGGGCTGAGACATGGACATCTAGTTGACTCCCCGCTCCATGCCTTTCCTCACGATTTAGGAACCATGCTCAGTCTCCGGGGACACAGTGTGATGAAAACTGACAAAATAAATACCTTAGTAAATAAACACCTCTGGGGGGTAGGAGGGTGGGGAGGGCTGGGGGGGAGTAGGAGCTGGGGGCTGGGGTGAGGGCTGGGGTGAGGGCTGGGGGTGGGGTGAGGGCTGGGGGTGGGGTGAGGGCTGGGGGTGGGGTGAGGGCTGGGGTGAGGGCTGGGGGATGGGGATGGGGTGAGGGATGGGGTGGCTCAGTGAGTAAAGTGCTTGCCTTGTAAGCACAGGGACCCGAGTTCAGATCCCCACTAAAAGCCGAGGAAGAGAGGAGTTCTCCCAGGACAAAGGAGGTCTAGACAGGAGGATCCCTGGAGTTCACTGACCAATTGGTGAGTTGTGTGTTTAGTGAGAGTCTGTCTACCAAAATTCAAGGTGGAGTGGGATGGAGGAGACACCTGAAGTGAACCTCTGGCCTGCACATCTGTATACACAAGTTCGCACAGTCATACAAACACATACCGCCTGTGACATGCACACCGGAATGAATGAAGGAGTCTGGTATTGGAGGCAACTCTAGAGGCAAGGTGGAGGCAGATAATCTGAGAAAAATTGTTCTTGTCAGGTCAGGGAAGGACTGAGGTAAGGGTTCTCAGTGACATGGAAGAGTTCCCAGAGCACAGATGGGAGACCAGGACAAGTGAGGGGGACAGGAGATGGACGGGTCACGAGGGGTGAAGACAGGTTTATACTTAGTCTAATATACCTTCGTGGAATCTCCTTGCTGTCGTGAAATGTAGCAGGACACAATACAAGTCCTAAGTGCCTATGACAGAACACTCAGATTATTAGAACAGTAGACACAGTAGAAACTTCCAGTCATGGCTGCAGCCTCTGCTCTTGAAGAAATCCAAGGGTAACTTGGTGACTGGGGCTGACCAGGGAGTTCTGGTTGAGAGACAAGGGTGTGTGGCGGTGTATCACCTATGCAGGGCGTTCAGGAGGAATGCACACCAACTGGTGTGTGTAAGGCTGGGGGGGAGGTGATGAATCTGGGTTGTAGATAGACAGCTAGGAGGGGATTGGGGCCCTGGGTCCTGGGCGTGGGGACACTGGAGGTACAGCCCCAGGAAGGGAAGGTTTTCACAGACCCTGAGTAGTAAGAAGGAAGGAACTGCGGGGATGTTTTGTTTGCGATCTAACAAATAAAGCTTGCCTGAAGATCAGAGTGCGGGGCTAAGCCACCAGTTAGCCATAGAGGCCAGGCAGTGGTGGCTCACACCTTTAATCCCAGCACTAGGGAGGTGGAGACAGGAAGTGATATGGCTGAGCAGAGAGAGGACTGTAAGGCAGGAACGGACAGGAGCTCATGTCTCCTTTTTGGTTGAGGAGTTGGTGAGGTGAGAGATGGCTGTGCCTTGTTCTTTGTCTCTCTCATCTTTCAGCATTTACCTCGATATCTGCCTCCGGGATTTTATTAAGGCCAATTAAGAATTACGCTACAAGGAACAGGAGAAGGACGAGTGTTAGCAGAAATGCCACCAGGAGAAGCCAAAGGTGGCAAAGACAATTAGAAGCTGGAAGAAGGCTGGTGCAATGGGATTTTTATGTGAAATAACATTGTAGCCATGGCTTCTCCTCTTCCCTGGAAATTCTGGGTAGGAATGATGGAAAATAAGAGTCTGGGTTCCATGGCCACAGTGATTCAATGAGGTCCCTCCAAACAGGCGAGAAGAGAACAGTAATTCTTATTGTTGTCCTTCAGCAAGAGAGCCCAAGGCTTGCATTTCTCTTCTATGTGTTAAAACCTCCTGAAGTAGATGCTTTATGCTCCCCTCCCACTCAGGCTTTCGGCCCTCCCCCCAGCTCCACCTCTCTTCCTCAAAGCCCCAAGCCTGTAAGTGAGGATGTTGCTCCCTAGAGGGCTAACATAAGCCAGTAAGTATGGAAAACCCAGGTCTCCATGGAACACTCTAGAAACTTCTGGAAACTTCTCAAAGGTCCTTCGCTACAGCAGTAACCCCAGTAACATTAGCTTCTCCTGGTCTTCACTTGCCCCATTTCCTTGCTTCTGTTCCCTGAGATGATTTCTCACCCCCTACTCTGTCTCAGCTCAGTTTCATCATACTGAAAACACCAGCATTCAGCCAGGCTCTGTAACCATACGACAGCAAACAAAATGCACGTCCCTGAGTGGCGGTGCTTCCACTGCAGGGCGTGGGACACATGGGGAAGATGTGGTGCGTGTGTCGTGGTCGTGGATGGGTACACAGATGTGGGAGGGGATGAGATGGCTGGGTGGCAGGCTCGCTCGAATGCATGCAAGGCCTGCTAGAGGACCCTCTGCTAGGACCTTTGGTGTGTGAGCGCACTGTGTGCTTAAGAGAGGAAGGGGTTTGCCTTTCTGCCCAAATAAAGAAGGGGTTTCACTTTGTGGGTTGTATTGTGCTTTGTCTGCTGCGAGACGGTAACAGATATGGTTTGAATGAGAGATATTCTCCACAAGCTCTCATACTGGGACACATGTTCCCAGCTGATGGCTTGCTTTAAGAGGTTGTGGAACCTTTAGAAGGTGCAGCCTCGCAGGAGGAAGTGGCTCACTGGAACAGGCCTGGAGGTTGATAACAGGCCCCACTTCCTGTCTCTGCTTCCTGTCCCACCTGTGAGCAGGTGAGGTGTTCCAGGCCTGCCCTGGTGCTGTCATGAAGCTCCCCGCTGCCAGGCCTTCCCCACCGTGGTGGGCTGTATCCCTTTAAACCACAGGTCAAAATAAATCTTCCTCAACTGCTCTCAGGAACAGGATGGAGAAGGCAGTGCCCTTTCTGTGGTCTCCTCTCCCATCTCCTCTGCGACTCCTCAGTAGGAGCCCAGAGTTCCTCATAGGTGGACCCTTCCTGAACCCTGTGGAAGACTGACACCATCATGTCCAGATGTCATATCTGAGAGGAAGCAGTGGAGAGAAGTAATCTATGGTTGTTGACTGATTTGGGAATCTAGATTTTTTTTTTCTGATTTTGGTGATTAAAATGTTGAATGACAAACTGGAGAGGTGGCTCAGCAGTTAAGAGTGCTTGTTGCTCTTGCAGAGGACACAGGTTTGCTTCCTAGCACCTACACGGTGGCTCACAATCATCTGTCACTCCAGCTCCAGGGGATCTAACATCTTCTTCTGACTTCTCAGGCACTGCACGTATGTGGTATGCATACATACATGCAGGTGAAACACCCATACCCGTAAAATAAAATAAATGAACGTAAAAGAACTGTAATGTTAAATGATATCTCATCCAGACTTAGGGAGACATTTCAAAGTGCTGAGAAACATGTGACATTTTCAACAGAGGTCGTTTCCAGTCACGGGAGGCATCTCAACGACACAGGTCCATTTGATAGAGTGTAGGAAGCTTGTTGGGATATCTAGGGACACACAGGAGGCTGGTTTTATTATTCATTGGATTTCTACTTGTCACAGTTCATCTGTGGTTAATGGAAGTCAAGAGGTGTCCGCTGCCACCAGGAAGGTGTTGTTTTGACACTCCTGTTTTAGGCCTCCAGGGCTT